TTTACTCAGGGAGAAAGGAATTAAGGCAAAGAAAAAGTCATTGTTTCAATTTCTTGATTGTGTGGATGAAACTTGTCTATGGTTCAGTGATGTAGAGGAAATAACTGACGATGTTTGGGATAGAGTAGGAGGAAAATTAAATGAAAAATTAAGGAGTCATAATTCTGACAGTGTACTAGCCATTACATTTTCTTTCTGGTCTTTAATAAATGAGTGCTTACAAAAAAGGGATGTACAAGGCTTAGATAAACACCTTCGCTTACATAGTGTTAACCCCTCAAATGGGGACACAAGCTCTCCCCATGGGAGTATTTGGACCCCTTCCGAAAGGCAGTGTTGGAATAATCCTAGGAAAGAGTAGTTGGATTTTAAAAGGGCTTCATATTCATCTAGGAGTCATAAACGCAGATTCTACGGGTGAAATAAAAATATTAGCTTCATCACCTAATGGCATTACTGTTATCCCTGCTCAGGAGCGGATAGCACAGATACTGCTTTGTCCTTATATAGAACAAGGAAGGTTTTTATTTCCTCAAAATAGTCAAAATAGAGCCTTTGGGTCTTCTGATGCATTTTGGGTCACGCCTATCCAACAAGATAAACCTGAATTAACAATTTGGATTAATAAAAAGTAATTCAAGAGAATTTTAGATACTGGAGCTGATGTGAGTGTGATAGCTCAACAACATTGGCCCAAGAATTGGCCTGTCCAAGATACAGCCACCAGCTTAAAGATTTATTGTGTGTCGGTGGTGCTAGAGTAGGGCACCAACAATTGTGTAATTTATTAGAATTTGTAGTAATAGTTTGTCCTTGGTTTCCTTTCTTTGCTTCTGTGTCCTTCTTTTCCTGTTAATATCTGAATTGGTAATTTGTGATCGGGATCATTTTGGAGGGAGGGAGGTCCAGGCAGACGTGCTAGTGGACTCCCCGCAGTGGGCCGGAGAGGTTCTTTGCCCCTCTGGTAGAAACTCTGTCTCTCTGTTTATGGGGAGGGAGGCTGATTTTTTTTCCCCTCCTCAAGACCCTCTGGTCGAGAGTGTTCTTCTGGTACTGGTTTTGGAACAGGAGATTAAGGAGTTTCCCTGACAGAGTCCCTGGTTCTTCTTTCGGTTTGGTCTTCATAAGTCTTTGTTTTACATTGTTTGGCTTCTTTTGCTCCAGCCTAGAAGTTGCTCACACTTCTGCTCTGTGACAGTCAGCTGTTAGTGAAAACTAGTTTTGGTAACACTTCTTGTGCATTGTTTTATACTGCGATTATAGGGTTAACTTGCTCTTTTAGGTTAATGGGCCAGATCTTGGGGCTACAGAAGAATATATGTTATGGGGTTATAATTTGGTTTAGTCCTTTTCTTTGAAAAGTTTTCACTTTTAATTGTGAAGGTGAAATATTTAGCATGATTTGTAAGCTCAGACATGTCTTCTTTTTGTATTTGAACTTCTTGATGAGGTTAAGATGTTGTGATAGCTATTATTGCTGCAAGACAAGCACAGAACTCTTCTTGTGTTTAAGGGTTAGAGAAGGAATTAACATTTTGAGGTAATATGCAAGGACGTTCAGTGTTGAAGATAGAAACCTAATTGTTTTAGTAGATAAGGTAAGGTCATTATTTATATCTGTTTAGCTACTATAGCTACTCTTAACTATTTTAATTGTTTCTAAGATTATTTTGTATAAGCCTGCTAGTTTCAGTATGTGTATACTAGTGTAACTTCTTATGTATGGTATAATAGCTTTGACACACAAATTGTATGGATTTGTAGAATTTCTTTTACATTATTTTATTGAGATAATCTTGTATATCATTATGTGATGCAGTGTAGTATTTTATTACATTTACATATTGTGAAATGATCGACTCAGGATGCTTAGGTT